GCTGGAGGCATCGAGACATAGACTCTTTCTGACTCTCCAAGATGCTGAAATCCCCAGCTACTGTTGTATTAAAGACAGTGCATACCCCAAGACTTTTGAGGAAGCCATAGTCTTCTGGATGCATAAATCACACTGAGGCAGAATTCAGCAGCAAAATAAGGCAGAGACTGTGGACACACCGCCACTTCCAGCACCTTTTGCTGTAAGATATCACATTTCTTATTAAGGTTCAGAACTCAAAAGAAGTCCTTGGTGTTCTGCTGGGAAACCTGGATCCCTTCCTCCACTAGTCACACTGCTGTCACACCCATATTACTCAAATATCTTGGCATCAGCCGACTTATGGAATTCTCTCTTCTTCCACATGTGGTGCTCACACTTCATCTGCAGTGGGGCAGGTGAGGGGCCAAGGCCTGGCCTGAGAGGAGCACCAGGAGATGCGGTCTTTTCACTTTCTTGATAGTGTTCTTTGAAGCCCCCTCATTTTTAATTTTGATAAAGTGTAATTTATTTTTTTTTTCCTTTGGTTGTTTGTGCTCTTGCTATCACATCCAAGAAACCATTGCTATGCCATGAAGATTTATGGCTATGTTTTTTTTTCTGAGTTTTAGTTCTTACATTTAGATCTTTGATTTATCTTAATATTTGTATATGTATAGGGGTCCAAGTTCATTCTTTTCCATGTTTTCCCAGCATCATTTTTTTGAAAAGACTGTTCTTTCCCCTATCGAATTGTCTTGGCACCTTTGCCAAAAGTCAATTGACCATAAATATAAAGGTATTATTTATGGACTCTGAATTACATCTCACTTATATATGCTTTTGGCAGTACAGCTGTGTTGATTACTATAGTTTTGAAATCAGGAAGTCCAAGTTTTTCCAATCTTTATGCATATTCTTATTGTTTTATTACATTGATTGGGACCTTCAACATAACCCTGAATAGAAGTGGTGAGAGCAAACATTGTCTTATGTTGTTCCTGACCTTAGGGGGAAAAGATTTAATATTTCACATTACATTTTTTTTAAGATGATTGTTGTTATACTGAGGAAGTTCCCCCTTTTTTTTTTTTAAAGATTTTATTTATTTATTTGACAGAGAGAGACACAGCAAGAGAGGGAACACAAGCAGGGGTAGTGGGAGAGGGAGAAGCAGGCTTCCCATGGAGCAGGGAGCCCGATGCAGGGCTCGATCCCAGGACCCTGGGATCATGACCTGAGCCGAAGGCAGACGCTTAAGGACTGAGCCACCTAGGCGCCCCAAGGAAGTTCCCTTCTGTACTTGCTTTAAGTTTTTTTGTTTTTTTTTTTTAACACGAATGGGTTTGAATTTTGTCAGATGCTTTTTCTGCATCTACTGAGACCATCATTTTGTTTTTCTCTTCCATTCTGTTAATGTGGTGAATTACACTGACTTTTCAACGTTAAACCACACCTTCCTTAGCGTCTTATCCTTTATATTGCAAGGTTCAATTTGCCAATATTTCATTGAGAATTTTAAAATCTATATTCACGAGGGATACTGGTTTGTAATTTTCTTGTAGAATGTCCTGGTCAAGCTTTGATATCAGGATTATTTGGCCTCATAAAATGAGTTTGGAAGTGTTCATTCCTGCTCTAGTCTCTGAAATATATAGGATTATTATTTTATCTTCTTTAAAAGTCTGATAAAATTTACTGGTGAAGCCATCTGGCCCTGGAGTTTTCTTTGTGGGAAAGTTTTTGATTAGAAATTCCATTTCTTTAATAGATATTGGTCCATTTAGCTTTTCTTTTTCTTGTGTCAGTTGTTTGTATTTTTTCAGGAATTTGTCCATTTCATGTAAGTTGTCAAATTTATTGGCATAAAGTTGTTGAACTATCCCTTTAATATCTGTATAATTCATTAGCATTAAAAGTAAAATTTCTGCATACAAAAATAAAATAGATGACAAATGAATCAGGGGAAAATAAATATATAACATATAGCAGAATAAGATATATATTGTAGGAGCAAACAGTCTAGTGACAGAAAGACGGAATTATGATTCAGTGTGACAAATGCCATGAGAGGTACACAGAGAACAACACATAGGATGGATACACTGGCCAATTTAGGAAGTCAAATCATGATGTCCAAGTGATGAATTACATTTGCTAACTTGAGGTAAAATAATATAGTCAAATTTATGGATACTTAAAAAGCTGAGAATTTAGCTCTCAGATATAATTATTTCACATTGGTCATCTACCTATGGGTGTCTACCGTCAACTGCTCCCCTTTCACTGGCATATCTTTAATTACAAATAAAATGAAAGTTTTTTTGTAAAAATGATAGACATTATAAAAAAATTCAAATGAGATAAAAAAAGTCCAAAAGACAAAATAAAAATCACTTGCATTTTGGCCAACATCCTTCCAGATCTTTTTGTACATTTATATACACATATATACACATATATTCATGTCAAGATGATGCTGTTCTTGCTGATCTATATTCTCCTTTTATGGGGGGACCTATATGCTATGAACATATTTTCATGTAAATAAAGATTTTCATCATTATTAATAGGTTAAGGGTATTCCATTGTGCACGTGCACTGTAATTTAACTAGCATCCTAGTGATGGCACTTACAGTGTTTCTAAAAACAGTTATTACAAAAAAGGGAGTGAGGAACATCCATACGAATGTTTTCTTTTTGTTATTTTCCTTAGAATGAATGGACTAGGAAATGAGATTTTGGGGCAAAGGCTAATGAAATTTTGGTAAATAAGATTGTCCCAATTTCAACCTTAACACCAATAAGTGCACAATAGTAATTGTAACCCCATATCACTATGTACCCTGAGGGACAAAAAGGATCTGTTTGGAATGTTGAACATCTTTCATTTAATTAGATGTTCATTTTTCTTGGTTTAAAAATGTCCTATTGATTTCCTTTGCTAATTATAGTGAGGTGTTTTTAAAACTGATACTTTTTTTAAAATTAAAGATTAGAGAGAGACGCACACACGCGTGCGTGTGTGGGGAAGAGGCAGAGGGAGAGGGAGAGTCTTAAGCAGACTCTGCACTGAGCACAGAGCCCACTGAAGGGCTCAATTTCACAACCCTGAGATCACAACCTGAGCAGAAACCAAGAGTGGGATGCTTAACGGACTGCACCACCCAGGGGCTCCTTAAAATTGTGTGAGCTCTTTGTATATTAGGAATATTTTTCCTTCTTTTTCCACAATACAAATGTATTTTCCACTGGTTCATTATTTGTGTATAGAAGATTACAACTTGTATATAGAAGAAGATTACAATCTTCATGTGGTTAATTTTTACCATTTTTTTCTGTTATGGTTTCTGGTTCTTGTTTCATACTTAGCAAAGGCCTTTCTCAGCTCAAGACTATAAAGATACTCTCCTTGATTTTCTTGTAGTGTTTTTTTGGCTTCATTCTTTACATTTAAATTTTTGATTCATCTGCTATTTGAGAAAGGAGATAGAAAGTCTGTCTCCATGGGCTTGTTATTTCTCAGATAATCTCTTTCCCACTTAGCAGGGATTTGTAGCATATAGTTTACTGGTTACCACTAAGACTTCTGGAGTCCAGGTCTCCTGGCTTCAACACTTAGCAGTAATGGCTCTGAGTAATGTTGTAAAGTCAGATAATAATTGCACCTGTCTTAGGGTTAAATAATATAATCTGAAAAAGAGCTCTGGTACTTGATACCTAAGTGCTCAGCAAATGTGAGCTACTATTATTAAACACTTGTACATGGCACAGCAGTTTGTTTCTAGATTCTATATTCTGTTCACTGATACTATCTTCCACATAATTGTAATCCATGTGTTGACACTCCATTATCCAACTCATTGTCTCATGGAATGGCTCCTCTTTCCTCATTTCAACAAAAAAGTTCCTATCTCAGTTGCCTTTCTAATCATAGCTACAGCCTAGGTAAAAATAAGCTGTGCTTCACAATGCAATGAGAACCGAAACCCCGAACCAAGACGCTGAACAAACGTGGGAAAGATGAGTACCTATTTCTTCTACCACGTATTCTTAAGAGACTGAAACTCTACCTCATTTCAGCCCTTGGCATATAACTGATGCTCTCAAAAACTAGTACCTTCTCGGGCGCCTGGGTGGCTCAGTCGTTAAGGGACTGCCTTCGGCTCAGGTCATGATCCCAGGGTCCTAGCATCGAGTCCCACATCGGGCTCCCTGCTCGGCGGGAAGCCTGCTTCTCCCTCTCCCACTCCCCCTGCTTGTGTTCCTGCTCTCGCTATCTCTCTCTCTGTTAAATAAATAAATAAGATCTTTAAAAAACAAACAAACAAACAAAAAAAACTAGTACCTTCTCTCCCAACTGTAGTTTACAACCTTAAATAAATAGTTCACAATGTTATCTCCAGTGGGCCCTGACTCTGGAGCAGGACGCGAGGGGCGGGGAAGGATTCACCCGGGGCCCCGGTCCTGACCTGGCCGGTTCCTCCTGGCAAGCTGAGTTGACTACCCGCTCGGGGGCTGATGCCCCCAGGCTGCGTGGCAGGCAGGCGACTCCAGGACCCATTAAATGTGCACAATCGGGGTCGAAGGCAGCGGCAGGACCTCCTCGGAGCCCTCAAAGACTTAAAGAGTGTGCGAAGAGCCGGCAGAGGGAAGCGCGAAAAGGGGGAAAATCCCCTAGAAACATAGCGTTGCGAGGAGGTGAGGGAGACCGGCTTCCCGCTCAACCACGCACTTCAGTCTGGCTGGTTGAAGCAAGTACCGGTCCTCGGCTCGGGGAATCTCTGCGTCCCCCCAGGGCTCTGTCGTAGCGCCGCCTCGACCCGGCGTTCCCGCCGTTGTCTGCCGCCGCTCCCGCCCCCGCTCGCCTCGCCTCCTCCCTCTAACTGCTGCTGACCGCGGCCGGCGTCCGCGGCGTCGGTGACGTCGGCGTAGGGGCGGGACTTCCTGCCTCGCGCTCCCTTAGGACTCCAGACCGAGGCGCTCCGGTGGGCTTGAAGGGCGGTGGGCGGCGGGCGGCGGGCGGCGGGCTGAGGGTGGTGTGTTGGCGGGTCGGCAGCTACTGGGCTGCTTCGCTATCTTGAGAAAGCCCGTCCGCCGAGGTGGAGCGAAGCTCTCTCTCCACCGCCGCCCTTTCTGTCCTCGGAGCTCTCTTGGGAAACCACATTTCCCTGGAGTCGGGAGCCCGAGGGGCGTGCTCGGCCCTCATTTTCCTGCTCCTCCTCTTCAGTCCGCGCCGCGCGCGGCTGCCGGCCGGGCCAGCACCCAGCGTGTGGAACTGCATCCCGTAGCCCCAATGCGGGTGCGAGAAGAGCTGAGTGGGTGCCACTGGTTGGAGCTGTGCACGTGTTCCCCGGTGGCAAGTGCGGCCACAGCACCGGGCGCTTTTAAGTTCTTTGCGCGCAAGTTGCAAGGACTGTGTGCGAGTCTGGTACGTAATCTCTTTTTATGGGGACGCTGTTTTGTCCGTAGTTTTGGAATGCTCCCCTTTTCTTCACAGTTTGCCCTTGAATTTTTTGTACTTTTCCTGTAAAGTAATTGGAGCGGGTGTGAGAAACGTAGGCTGTGAGACATGTTCTGTAGCCAGTTAAGTGCACGTGAAACTTTTTATGGAGTTGTTTTTGTTTTGTTTTGTTTTAAATTTATGTATGTAAGTAATCTCTACACCCAGTGCGGGGCTCGAACTCACCACTCCGAGATTAAGAGTCGCATGCTCCTCGGACTGAGCCCGCCTGGCGCCCCTTTTTGGAGTTTTTTGATGCACTCCAGCGCGGTGCTTGGTAGCTAGTTTACTAACTGGCTGAACGTGTGGTATACCACCAGTTTAATTTGTGATGAGAAAACTATGCTAACCACTTTGTATGACCCCGCAGACAATTTTAATAGTGATATTGGCAGTCATTTCAGAGATAATGTCTAGACTATGTAAATGAATGCCTGGATTAAATGGACATTTTGATAAATCCTTACCAGCTTTTGACCGTAATAAATGGGCACTTAGCTCTTCAAAATGCCCACTGCCAAGTATTTTTAAAGCCTTAAGTTACCTGAGTTGTAATTATGAAGCTGTTTCAGTAAAATCTCAGAGATGTCTAGTATGCAAGAAACTTGTTCTTAATTTCTTATATGTGTTATAGTTGATAGTGTTTAGACTATGAACACAAAATACTTGAGATCTAAAACTGAGTAGGTTGTTAAGGCAGTGCTTTTGTTACCAAGCAACATCTCCGTAAACAAGTCTAATATTCAGCTAGAATATAATTAAATGTAACTATCCTACAATTATCTGGATTCAGAATTCTGTAAATTCATGGGTTTAGCCCGTAGGTGGTTACAGTTAGTACGCACCTTCTGTACTGAAGTTTGATTTCAAACTCATTTTGTGTGGAATTATTAGAATGTTTTGAATTTCAGTGTCATACAGGACTCTCCAGAGAGTTGCAAATGGATTTCAGTTACCCTTTGGTTATATAGGACAGTGTATGTCCTGTATTCTTTCTTTCGAATATTTTCTAATCAGATGAAGTGTGCAGGCTATATTCAGGAATTTTTCAAATAATAGAATAATACCAATTTAGGGTTACATAGCGCATTGGGAGATTAAAACAGTATCCACAAGTGTTTTTAAGCCTTGCTTGAGCCAATAACCTCACTCTTTCTCCACCCATTAAACCCTTATTGATATAATTTGTATGACTGTATGGCAAGTAGTTTTCAGAGCACTTTTTCATGATTTTTTTGAGTGCTATAACCTTTCAAGTATGTCAGAAAGGAAGTGAACATTTGAGACACTATGAGACTGAATGACTTCTTTGAAATCAAACTATTGGTAATGGGAATTGCAGCTTGAAGTTGCATGTCTTACTACATTGCAAAAATCTGTTGACTTCATCTTAGTTCCCTCCCCCTTTCTCTTTTCCATATGCTATGTTGAAGTAATGAAATATTCAAAGAGTTGGGCAAGACAAGCAGAGAATAAAATCAAGAATGACTCGTATAAAATTCTTAGTAATCAGAAGTCAGCATTTTGTCATGGGAAGTTCTAATTCAAGAAGTTTAGAAGAAGGAAATCTTAACAGAAAGATTAGTTAATTGTCAGAATTCTTTGTGTGTTTTCTAGGTACTGTCTCTGCCTAAAGTAATTGAGTTTTATTTTAATTTTGTCATACATAATGTATTAAGTTCAGTAATTCTGTCAAATTGTCTAATCTGTGTGTACTTTTAGGGCATGTGTGTATGTATCTGTAAAAAATTTCCTGAAGTACTCTTTCCTACCAACTAAAGTTCACATTTCTTAACCTGAACTCTTCAAAATCTCCTCTCACTCTGCCATTTCATGTTCATGTTCTTTATAGAAAAACTGTTGTGTCCAGACAGATTTCCTCACTATCCTCTAAACCTACTATGTGCTTTCTCCCTTTCTTCCAAGTCTTTGAGTCATTCTGCCTACCTGACCTGATTTCTTCCCTTCTTTACTAAAATCTGAATTGTACCTTTTCTATAAAGTTCAACTCCACCATAATCTCCGCAGGGGAGGAAAAGTTCTCTACTCTCTTAGAGTCTCTAGTTGGCCTAAGAGTTAAATTGACATAAAACTGATAAACAGAGAAAAGCGTACAAGTTTAAAAAATTGTTTACATGTACTTGGGGGCCTTCACAGGAGAATGAAGACTTGAAGTAACCAGAGCAGAAACCTTTTATACCTTTTAGATAAAGAAACAATAAATTTATGTAAAAAAGACAAAGGTTTTGTGTTGAGTAGTAAATTGTGGAGAAGTGACTAGGAAGATAAAGACTAGTTTAAGAAGGCTTGTTTGTACAGATTTCTCGGCTTTGATCCCCCATCTCTGGTGATAAGAATGTCTTCTGCACTCCTGGTACAGGTTTTGTTTTTTTTTTTTCTTCTGGGATTTTTATCTTCTGTTTTCAAGAAGAAAAAGGAGGGTCAGAGTGCCCCTTTTTGCACCTGCTATTTATTAAGTGCTTTTAACTCAATCAGTACACCAAAGTGGCATATTTTAGGGTAACATGTTCTGAACTCTTTCTTCTCTGAAATCCTGTAGGATGTTTTCATTAGCCATTCTCATCTGATACTTACACTTTATATTGTGATTTATCATTTCTGTATATGCCTCACCTTCCTAACTAGATTGTAAGCTCCTTAAGGGCAGGACACCAGATCTCAATGAGCTGTATCCTTAGTATCTTCCAAATAGAAGTTGCTGAATAAATGTTTCTTAGAGATGAGGAATGTGCATTTGTACTTTCTCCCCCTTCCATAGTGTAATAGAAGTAAAAGAAAATCTTTGAGAGAGTGAGAGAGAAAGGGCAACTGTGAACCATAAGAAAGGGAATTAAAGAGAGGGAATTCATTGGGATTGGAAGGAAAGATTCTATTCCTAGAAAGTGTGATATTTGAGAATTTCCCAAGACAATATCAACAGTGAGGACTCCCTCAGGAATGCTGGCATTACTCTCAAGTGGGTTTGGGGAGTTTGGTCAATTTCCTGGTTCTTCCTTAGTAGAATCTTAATTTTAAAAACACTTCCCCCAACTCTCTCCTCCCTCTACCTCCCTTGTATAATCCCTCTCTCCCTATCTCTCCATTTTACCCTGTTCCATTTTACTTTTTTCCTGGTCAAGACTTATTTATGAATTATGTCAGTACTTTTATTTGGCCCTCATAAAGTAGCTGTTATCTTAAGTTTTATAATTTTCCATTGGGGCTGCCTCTATGGGTCACGGAGAGATCACAGGCTGTATAGCTAGTCTAGCTTTTTTTTTTTTTTTTTTTTTTAAGTTTAACTGAGATGTAATCCAGTAGTAAAGAAATTAAGAAAGCATGAAGTGCCCAGTTTCTGTATATTGTAACTTTAAATTTCTTTTGCATTAAAATTCATAGAGTTGGGAGGAACCTAAACCTATCCATTTCCTTTTGGAAAGTGCCTATCACTCTCAAAATATGTCTCTAAATAAATTCTGGGTAATTTTTGTATTCTTACTGTAAATCCTGTATCTGATGCTTATGACAAGGGGTTGTTTCATTTAAAGGTATAAGAAAGTAGAGTCTCAGTATTTTTATAAATCTTGGTTTGAGTCATTTGTTTTTTAGTAAGCTGCTATCCTAGCTTCTGAGTTGTTGCCCAGTAACACAATTGCAGGATAACGTAGCAACCACTGAAAATGTTAGCAATGGACTATAGGGATTTTCCTGCTAAGTTGAAGTGCTTATCTTTAGCATTCACATTCAATGTTTTTCTCATCTGAATCACATTTTGGTTTAAGGCAGACACTTGAGATATTGTTAAACTTAAAGAGCATACAATATAATTACATATTTTTGGAGTGCTGACAAATTACAACTTGCACATTATTTTTCACATACTGTTGTGATATATATTAAATTATATATGAAGGATATGTGAAAAGATTCGTTCAATTAAAGATTAGTCTATATTGGGCAGAAAAACTATTAAGTAATAATTAACATCTGAGTTCTCTATAACTGATACAGCTAACAAAAGCTGGGATGGATGCATTTGAAATGGTTCTTCTCCAAATAATATTCTTATGTTACTTCTGGAGGTTCCTGGGAAGCTTAGATCAGTAAGCATGAACTAATAGGCATTATGATTTTGTGGGAAGCAAACTGTGATTCAGGAGACGAAGACTTGACTGAGTTAGTCACTTAACCTTTCTTGTCCTGTTTTTTCTTTTGAAAAAATAAATTGTTGAAGGTTTTTTTCAGAGGTTGTATGTTTACAATTTATTTTTCATTTATTTTTTAAAGGTTTATTTATTTTAGAGAGTGCAAGTGCATGTGCATGTGGGGGAGGGGTGGCAGAGGGAGAGGGAGTCTTAAGTAGACTCCGTGCTGAGTGCAGAGCCCAACCTGGGGCTCAATCTCATGACCCTGAGATCACAACCTGAGCCAAAACCAAGAGTTGGACGCTTAACTGACTGCACCACCAAGGTGCCTTGTATGTTTATAATTTAAAGCACATTTTATTTCTCCTGTTCATTGGTTTAGCCAATTTTTGAGTGCCTGTCATGGGCCTTGCACTATACTAGATATTGGGAAAATTGTGAATAAGACATAATGCCACGTCTCAAGCAGTGCCTGGTGGGAGAAAATGAATGGTTATTTATAGTTTATATATAGTTACTTGTGATATAAATTGAAAGTGCTATAAAGATAAATGAGGGTGTATTTTGGTGGCATGTCAGAAGGACACCTGACCTAGAACTGCTGAGAGAATACATTATAATTAAGGAAATGCCAGATTAGAATTATGTAAGTGTAATCTGAGAGTATACAGAGAAGTATTAAACCTAGCCTGGAGGGGGGCGCCTGGGTGGCTCAGTTGGTTAAGCGACTGCCTTCGGCTCAGGTCATGATCCTGGAGTCCCGGGATCGAGTCCTGCATCAGG